CAGTTGCGTCACAAATAATAAAATACCAAAGAATACATTTAACCAAGGAGGTGAAAGACTTGTGCTGAAATCTCTTAAGACAGTGATGAAATAATTTAAAGAAGACACAAATAAATGAAAGATAGTTCATGCTCATGGACTTGTCATCAGGGAAATGCAAATAACCACATCACTTCATACACACTAGGATGACTAAAATGAAAAAATCAGATAAGTGTTGTAAAGGACGTGGAAAAATTGGAACTCTAATACAGTGATGGTGGAAATGTAAAAAGGGGCAACCACTTTGAGAAACCTGACAGCTTTCAAATGATTCAACATAGAATTACCATCTGACCTAGTTATATCACTGTTAGGCATATCCCCAAGAGAAATGAAAACATAGATACAAATAAAACGTGTACAAGAATGTTGATAGCAGTGTTATTAATAATTGTCAAAAGTTGGAAATAACCCAGCTGTTCATCAACTTAGGAATATAGAAATTGTGGTATATCCATGCAGTGGAATATTATAAAAAAGGAATGAAATACTGTTACATGAATGAACCATGAAAACGTTAAGTTAAAGACTTCAGTCACAAAAGACCACATATTGTATGATTCCATTCATATGAAATTTCTTGAATAGACAAATTAATGGAGTTAGAAAGTACTGTAATGGTTTTTAGGACTGAGGGAATGAAGGGATGGGAGGGAAATACCTAGAGTATAAGATTTCTTTTTGAAGTTGCAAAAATGGTCTAAAATTGATTATAATTTTATATATCTGAATATACTAAATAAACGGGTGAATTGTATATTTTATATAAATAAATTGTATGGAGTGTGAATTCTATCTTAGTTGGAGCTTTTTTATAATTTTATTATTATTATTTTTTAAAGAGCCTATTGTGTGATTTCCAATGGTATTTATGACTTATGCATTGCTGACGCCAGATCTGATGAAGGAATAGAAAAGGAAATAGAAGTAGTGAGATTTTGCTGTTCTGTTCATGGAGTGAAATGGCTGTCAGGGAATCTTTTCTGGCATACTTATCCATAAAATTACCTAATAGAGGTGACTCAGTTCTGAAGACAAGCAATTCGAGTGCACATTTTAATACGCCACTTTCTGTTTGCCTCAAACAATGGAATTTTTTTCTAGGTTTATAAGTAAAATATAAAGACCTGAATATAATCTCTTTTTTTTCCTCCCCCCCCCCCCATCCCATTTATTCTTTAAAGGGAGTTTACACTGGGAGAGTACTTACCCTTCAAGAACTACTGATCCAAGTTGGGAAGTTAAATGCTGAAGCTGTTAGAGGTCAGTGGGCCAATCTTTCTTGGGAATTGCTTTATGCCACAAATGATGACGAGGAACGTTATAGTATACAAGCTCATCCACTACTTTTAAGAAACCTTACAGTACAAGCAGCTGACCCTCCCCTGGGATATCCAATTTATTCTTCAAAACCTCTCCATATACATTTGTTTTAGAGCTCATTTTGACTTGTATTGTCATCAAATGGAATGTCTTTATTTTTTCATTCTAGAAGAGTAACTAGGTGATTTTTCAAACTTCACTGACCTTCCCTCTCTCTTTTCCCAAAAGTCAGGTGTCTGGGAAAAGCTAAGTACTACAAATTGATTTTCTTAGCTATTTTAATGAAGGGGGAGGGCAGAGCGGGGAATTTTGTCTAAAAAGAACTATTGGCCAATATTTGTGCCCTATGGATTGTGGTAGGCTTTGTTAAATATGAAGCATTTGTATAAAATTAGAAAATAACTTTTTAATGCTAAATGTGTGATAGGTGACTTGACTTATAAAAGTCAACAACTATGTAATTTTTACATACTTAAAAAGATATTCCTATCAGTGTTTGTAAGTAATGATAACGGTGCTATTAAAAGTTGCATAATGTATATATATTTATTTATTTGAAATGCGAATAAATTTTATAGTATTTTCAAACTTTGTGCTGTTTTATTTTAACATTTAACATGGTCTGAATGACTAAATGTTTCCATATAATTACTTTTTTTTCATATACTTCAATTCAGAAACCATAAAAATGTTTATTAAAATGTCTTCTAATAAAATATTTTTCTTCCAAGTATCCTTTTTATGCATGTGAAAGGAATTTATCCCATTCATCATTTAATACTGACAGGATTATCAACATTAGGTGCTTCAAGGAGTGCTCAAATGTATCAAAAGCTATTTGAAGGACAAATAAGATGAGAACAAAAAGTGACTAGTTGATTTGACAATTTGAAACTAAATAAGGACTTTAATTAAAACTTTCTTTGGGGGAAGAATAGAAATTGAATCCAGACTGGAATGGTTTGACAAGTGGAAGATGAGGATACTTTGCCATGAATAAAGGAGAGAGGCATAGGAGGACGAGAAATGAAGAAAAAGCATGGCTTGTCATTATGATAATAGTAAAAATCTCTAAACAACTTAAAATGTCCATTACTTAAGGTATTGCTAAATCTGTCACTGTTAAACAGTCATTAAATCAGATCATCAAAGAGAGTGTGGTTTGTTTTTTTGTTTCGTTTTGGGTGGTTTGTTGTTGTTTTTTTAATTGATTTTAGAGAGGAGAGAGAAAGAAACATCAATGTGAGAAACATGGATTGGTTGCCAGGGATCAAACCTACAACCTGGGTTTTTCCCCCCACCAAAAATCAAACCCACCACTGTTTTTGGTGTATGGGATGACCCGCCAACCAAATTTAAGCTACACTGGCCAGGGCAGAGAGTATTTTAGAGAGAATTTTCATAGGTGACAAAAAATACATAAAATTTCCAGCTAGTAAATCTCATGTAAATCAAAAGCCTGAATTCTGAACTCAGGTGTAAGTAACTTAGGCCTCGTCTTATTAACAACTATGTTATTTCCCCAAAATTGACTAACATACAAACCACATAATTCATTAAGTAAAATTAGTTCAAAAAGTTTTCCTTTGCACTTACAGTCTGTCCCATGCCACATGTTATTTTGTACATTCTAGAATTGTTCCACAATCCATCCTTTTGTTTTTACCCCAGATGCAGAGTTGATTGATTAATCATAATTTTCATCACATTTATTATATTTTATCCCCATACTACACCCATCTCTCCCCATTCTAAGCAATCATTATAATACATATTTTCTTGTATGTTTTCTTGCAAAATGAGCACTACCTTCTATGCACATCAATTTAAGTATGTATAAACATAATTGTGTTCTAGTTCTTTCTTCACTCTACCGCCATTCTAGGACATATCCATGTTGCTGTGTACATTTATTCCATTATTTTTACTTGCTGTACCCTCAACAAGTATTACAAACTTCCTCAACAAGTATTCTACAGTTATTTTATGTATATTACCTTAGCGATAGCTAAACTGTGAACTGCTTATAAAGAACCAGGATTTTCTCCTCTTACACCCAACTTTTGACAGCAGATAGTTAAGGAATATTTGTTGATTTTCTATAGTGGCCTATGCATAATATCTACTGTAAGGTGCTAAAGATTAAAATAAAATTTATAGAGTAAGGGATTACCAATGGATTCTTCCTTAATCTTGACTTTACCCCTTACCAGCCCTGTGACCTTGGGAAAGTAATACCTACTTGCTTTGGGTAACTTTCTTCCTCTACAAAGGAAGATAACACCACCTGCTTACTGTACTTTCATGAGGAATAAATGAATTAATACAAAGCACCTCAGCCCTGGCCAGTTTGGTTCAGTAGATAGAGCATTGGCCTGCAGACTTAAGGGTCTCGGGTTTGATTCTGGTCAAGGGCACATGCTGGATTGTGGGCTTGATTCCCAGATGGGTGTGCAGGAGGCAGCCGATCCATGATCTTCTTTCATCATTGATGTTTCTATCCCTCTCCCTTCCTCTCTGAAATCCAATCTAATAAAATGATAATATGCTAATTGACTGTCACTCCAACCCCATGTGGACATAAGATGGCTGCCACAAGATGGGTAGTTGGGAGGGACCAGGTCTGCAAAGGAGGGCACTTGTGAGCGATTAAGCCTGCAGGGGAGGGTAGTTAAGGGTGACCAGGCTGGCAGAGGAGGGAAGTTGGGAGCAACTGGGCCTGCAGGGAAGGGCAATTGGGGGGCAGGGGGATCCAGGCCTGCAGGGGAGAGCAGTTGGGGGGGACCAGGTCTATAGGGAAGGGTAGTAAGGTGTGACCAGGCCTGCAGGGGAGGGCAGTTAGGGGCAAACAGGCTTGCAGGGGGAGTGGGTAGAAGGTGATCAGGCTGGCAGGCAGAAGCAGTTAAGGGCAATCAGGAAGGCAGGCAGGCGAGCAGTTGGGAGCCAGCAGTCCTGGATTGTGAGAGGGATGTCCAACTGCCCATTTAGGCCTGATCCTACTTGGAGGGGTCCCAGATTGGAGAGGGTGCAGGCTGGACGAGAGACACACATCCCCGTGCACGAATTTCATGCACCGGACCTCTAATAAAAAAAAAAAAATAAAAAAAAATAAAAAAAAAAAAATATATATATATATATATATATATATATATATATATTTTTTTTTTTTTTTTTTTTTAAAGCACTTCAGTACAGCAAATGGCATATAACCGGTATTGAATAAATCATGGCTGCTAGGAGTCCTATTTCCTGTCAATTCTTTTAAGAGAGTGTAGGCACCTTGGTGGCATGACCATTTACATATGCTTATTACCCAGCACTCGGCTTCGTGTACTGGTCCCTACATTTACATTAATGGATTTCTATAATTCTTTGATTAGCATTCCACTAACCTAAATTATAAGCATAAATGCCAGAATATGTTAATACAATCTCTTATCCAAGAATGTAGTACATATTATACCATCTTTATTGCAAGTTTCATAATAATCTTTTATTTGTTGCTTATAACATGTTGAAAGAGAAATTGTATATATTAAGCAGTAAAATCACAAGTTAGTCTTCCGTGCACAAGAAAATGGCCGTTTTCATGTTTTCCATTTCTCCCTCCAGTGGCTTGAAATGCAAGTACTCTGTCAGTCATGTTTTGTCTTCCAGATTTTAAAATAAGAAGAATCTGCATCCTGGAACAAAGTGACAACAACATGAGTCAGTCCCTCCTTGAATTTACCCCAGTTTTTGACAATTCCTTCTATTTTAAGGAGATATAAAATTATGATTCACTGTTGAGAATTCTTTTAAAACCTGAGTAAATGCTTAAATTAGAATAAAAATCATAGCTAAAACTCTAGAGCTTAGAGCTAGAAAATGGATTTAGCACCATTATCGTCTCTTATCACTAGGAAGCATCTGCTCATGCCATTTTGTAAATGCTGAAATCTCTATTATTACTTCTCTAGAGTAGCATATCGTACCCACACTGACTTGTTTTAATAATTACAAAGAGTCAGAATATTTAGAATAGAAATATTTGATGACTCTGAAATGTTTTTGTGAACTTTTAGTATATCACTTATAACAGAAAACAAAGCAACATTTCATTTGGGAAGATACGCATTTTCCACTTCCAAGAACTTGCAGTATGATAAAAAATAAAACACAAAAGTCAATGCAGCTATTGTTCTTGATCTCTTAAAATAATAAAAATTCATCAAAGTTCCAGACATACTGTTCTTAGCCTCAAGGACAGGAACAAATTCAAGTATTATTGCCAAATACATTTAATTTGGGCTAAAGCTATATTGGCATTCTCTTAACTTAGATACTTATAAACAAATCAAAATAAGGAGATGGACATATATAATAGAAAATAATGTGGAGAAAAGAAGCAAGGAGGAGAGAATTGAGTAAAAAAAAAGTGAGAAACAATTTTTTAGTTCCCATGGTTTTGAGTGAAAAATGAGATGATATCTCAGAAATGGTCCTGGGAAATAAAATGATGTCCAGTTTATCATTTAAAAAAGTAATAAAGCAATAAGACCATGTAATAAACAATATATTAAAGACAGTGTTAGGAAGTGAAAGGCCATCACTGTTAGCAAAGGATAGATGTAATCAAATGCTAGATTTGCTGAGTGATATTTATACTTTATAATTAGATATTGTGTAAATAAAACAAAATAACATCTGCTAGAGTAGGACTGAAACTCTAGCCCCTGGTCCTTCTTTCCCCTCTGAAACAACTATTTCTATAATGTATTATCTTTCTGGCCTCTTATTTAACTTTTTGATCTTCACTATCTATTAGCTCAGTAGCCTTGTACCATCAAAATGAAAGCATTAACAGCTAATCCTCAATAAGTATAACACTTCTACATACTAACTCATTCAATCTCCATGACAATCCTATGACTAGATGCTACTGTCATCAGTAATCTCCATTTTGTAAGATGGGATTATTGATTTACAGAGAAGTAACTTGCTCAAGGTCATGGGACTGAATAAGATAGAATGGTGTCACCTCTAGCCTTTCCCTTTGAATTCTTTTTTTTTTTTTTAATATATTTTATTGATTTTGTACAGAGAGGAAAGGAGAGAGATAGAGAGTTAGAAACATCCATGAGAGAGAATCATCAATCGGCTGCCTCCTGCACACCCCCAACTGGGGATATGCCCGCAACCAAGGCACATGCCCTTGACCGGAATCGAACCTGGGACCTTTCAGTCCCCAACCCGGCGCTCTATCCATTGAGCCAAACCGGTCTCAGCTCCCTTTGAATTCTTATCCATCCGTGGGCACAATACCACTCTATCAGCTGTATTCCATAGAATTTAGATGTTCTCTTTGAAGAAGCTCTACCTTTAGTTTAGACCCATCCTACACTACCAAGCCCCAACATTACCAAAATACTAACAAATAATTTGGCCCAAAGCAAACTAGTCCATAGAACAAGTTGGTAGAAAATGTATAACTTTTCCCCTTACCCCCTCACCTTCATGATTTTTCAAGCTCTGGAAAGGTTAGTGCAGCATGGAAGTTTTATAACCTTTAAGTCTTTTTAAAGCATTTTGTTTTAAGCATTTTTGCTTTTTTTTCACAAATTCATTTTTTGCTATCCTGCAAAAAGTTGAAGCAAAATAAATGTCTGGCAATTCATGGATTGCTTAATGGTAGGTTATATAATGATACATATAGTATGATCCCATTTTAGAATTCTCTTTATATGTCAATCCCTACTAACTTCTTTCTTTAAAAAAAAAATATCACTGAAAGACATACTTCAACAATAAAACCATCCTGCCCTGACCAGTTTGTCTCAGAGGATAGAGCATCACCCTGCAGCCTGAAGGGTCCCAGGTTTGATTTCGGTCAAGGGCATGTACCTTGGTTGCGGGCACATCCCCAGTAGGGGGTGTGTGGAAGTAGCTGATTGATGTTTCTAATTCTCTATCCCTCTCCCTTCCTCTCTGTAAAAAAAAAAATCAATAAAATATATTTTTTTAAAACGATCCACAGAAATAACCTTTCTTTGTGTAATCATATCTGTAATTTTTGGCATAACTCCTTGCATTTCCTGTGCTGTTTATATATTAAACTCTTGATGGTCACAATTTTCTCAGAAGCAGTTCATACTATTCCTCACTTTCCTAAAAGAATGACTGTTGGAAAAATGAGTTATCAGCATATTTTCTTAGACATGGACATAGGCACAGCTCAGATGTGCAGAGTGCTTCTAAATCAAGTCAAAGGAACCAGCACTTCCCAGCTTGAGTACATCAGTTTTAACAGCACAGTAACTGGTAAGCACCAGGCAAGGTTGACTTCCCGGGGAGAACTAAGGTATCAACCCATGGAGGAGACACCAGAGCTGAGACGTATAAGATGATTACGAGTCTGTGAGGAGAAAGAGCATTTGGCACATACGCTGGTCAAACAATGAGTGTAGAAGCAAAAAATGGCAATCTCTGACTCGATTTTACCTTGTAGAAAACTCTTTTCTTCAAGACCAGTAGTAATTTGTAATAAACCACAGATATGCATGGGGCATAGAATACTAATACCCTGTTTCCCCGAAAATAAGACAGTGTCTTATATTAATTTTTGCTCCCAAAGATGCGCTAGGTCTTATTTTCAGGGGATGTCTTATTTTTCCATGAAGAAGAATACGATACACATTTATTGTTAAATGAAAATAAAGGAAATTTATTACCTGTATACGGTACGGTAGTATGGTAGTTGTCAACACAAACCAGACAAACTGAATCCTACAGTATCAAGAATTTACTCATTTATTCAATGACAATCATCATCTTCTGGAACGTCATCATAACAATCCAATTCCTGAATTTCCTGGTGAATTTCTTGTGACTCCATTTCTTTCAGAATCAGTGGGCCAAATCTCTCATGTTTAGCCTAGGGGGCGGGGCCTTATTTTTGGGGAGATGCCTTATATTTCACTCAGAAGGAAACCTGTTAGTAGGTCTTATTTTCGGAGGATGTCTTATTTTCGGGAAAACACGGTATATTTTGTGTTGATATCATGAGATTAGTGCAGTTAATAAGAAAGGTTTTTAAGCGCTCGAAAATTTCATACTTTCCTAAAGATTGACAGGTATTAAGAAATTTATAAATGGTTCTTACCAGGCCCTTCTTAAAGTTCTCAATCCTTTTCTTCCCTAATTTGTTGGTTAGCCACATGGCCCAGGTTGGCATATACTGCCACAAATACGCCAGCGACAAAAAAGGTTGATCCGCAATCCAAACTTCTTTCAAGTCATTGGCCATGCAGATTAGCATCAGCCGCACGCACCGGCTGGTTGCCATCTTGTGGGACTGGTCTACATCACTATGTACAGCCTAAGAAATATTTCAAACATTAAGGGAATGGTGAGTATTTAACCAAGGCATTTCACAGAACTTTAAACTAGAAAGGACCCAGATGTCATCTAGTTGACTTTTGAGTGTGACCTCATGCCTTTTCAGACCCAGTGGATAATAATAGGTGCCTATAATGTTTCCAAAAGCCTAACAGGAAACAAGGCTACCCCTAGAGTCCATGGGGGTAAAACAACAAAAAGATAAAAAGTGATTTCTTGGTAGTGAACAAGTCTGGCACTGCTGATCTAGTTAACCCACTACCATTCTATAAATGAACTAGTGACCCGGTGCATGAAATTGGTGCACATTAAAAAAGAATTAAGTAGAGGAAGTATTTTAATATTGCTATTTGTCCTTTCTCTATAATAGAAGTGTCCGACAGGCCCCACCCTCATTGGGCGACATCAAGATCTGGCCGTCCCCACCCTTGTCAAGCCCTGCTGAGTCTGGACACAGCCTTACATCCCAGCGCTGGGGCAGAGGGCGTGGTCTTGGGGAGGGCGAGGCCTCAGGTCCCCTGGCCCCAGCACCAGGGCAGGGGCATGGCCTCAGGTCCCTTGCCCCAGCCCAGCACCATGCAGCCTCAGGTCCCTGCTGTGATGAATATTTGCATATTAGCCTTTTATTAGGATGACAAACTGAGGCCCAGAAAGGTAGCAGCTCACCTGTGCTCACACAGATCATTATAATAACCAGGTCTATATCCCAAGTCCCTTGATTCCTATAATTGGATAATTATTCTATTTTACCTTAAAGCCTCCACAAAAAAATGTGAAAATATAAATTATATCTGTTAACATTTACAAAGAAGCATATATAGACTTATGTCTCAGTAGAAATAAATCTTAATGAAGAAGAAAAATTTCCTGGTCTGTAGAGGGATTTGGGTATTATTAAGTGGCACTGGATTCTTCGTGAGACATGTGCTATTCATTTGATAAATCACTTTATGATGTGTAATCTGAGCTGAGGAAAACACAGACCTGGGTGAGGCTAAAATAAAATTATCAAAATGCCACAAGTGTTTTTCTAAGCTCCTTCACTGGGACTCCTTTTTAAAAGCCCAGTCAGTTTAATATACCGAAATTCAGCCACACAGAACCTCTCAGTGTTGTTATAATTTATGAATTTATAGAAACTGGTTTTTAAAATCACCTAATAGTGGATCACTTTACCATAATATCTCAGCAATTTCTTTAGCCTTTATTAAAACTGGCTGCTAAAACACGATCAGCTAACCTTAACAATTTCCCTAATGCTATGAGTTAAGGTTTGTAAATAAGTCATAAGCAGCTCTAACATGAAAACCCTGAGGCACAGTGATACAAAACCTACATATGGCTATTAAACCATTCAAATTATATCCCAACTAGAAATGTTTACCTGTGTTCCATCATTAGTTAGGGCGTTCTTCACAATATTTGATTGCACCGGTCCTGGGAAAATGTTAGAAACTACTATCCCCGGGTACGTGGCAAGTTCGGTTCGGAGGCCATTAAAAAAACCCTAATATGAAATAAAGCAAATAAAATAAATACAGACACATCTCATGCTTACTATTAGCATGAAATTACTTGTTTTTGTGAAGGACAATAGCAGCACATTATGAAATATGTTCTGAAACGCCTGAATAAAGCACATGAAATGTAATTGTGCAATCTTATCAGCCATTTTTAACCTTGAGACTGGAGGTCAATCAAGAATAGCATTCTCAGCTCTTTCCGGATATGAATGGCTCACCTGTTTGGAAGTGGTGGGTCATGCCATCAGTGATTTTTAGGGCAGACAAGCACTGGATAGGTGAAAAACTGCCCCCTGGAGATTCTGATACACCCTCCTTAGACCAGTCTCCGGGTACCCACTAAAAAAGGGGTGCATGTTTCCCACTGAAAATCACTCAGATTTGGTTTCTTTTTATCCCTCATTGTGGTTTAAGGTGCCCATACTGGGGGCAAGAGCGAGTGAGAGGGATTAGTACTTAATACACTCTCAAGGAAAAATTCAACTTTTTCTATTTATTACTACTTTAACCGACAATTAGTTTCAGCCAACACCCATCTTTTCTGGGTGGTTAAAGACCCTCTAGACTTAAAGACACTGGCCATTTATAACCCAAACAGGGAGTAAACATCTTTCCCTAGTCTCTTTTCCTAATTTAGGAAATGGTCCAAGACTAGAAGCTGAGTTAACTACTGAAAAGCCTAAACAGCTAACCCAGGGTACATTTACCTATGATCCAACAACATTAAATAGTTTTACCAGCCCTTAATGCTGACCTCAAACAAATAGAGTCCGTGAGGATTCATGCTTTCAGAGACACATGCAGAGCCTAACTCACGGGCAGGAAAAAAAAGCTAAGTGAACGATCTCCCAAACCCTTAGCTTTCCACCCCGCTTTAGCAAAGAGGAGAGAGGACAGACACCACTGAGAGCCAACACATCAAACATCAACACCTCTCCTTGTCTGAAATCACATCTAGTACAGCGTGTGAACTTTCATTGATAAACAAGTTCATGCTACAGCTTGCTGGGCATCGGGAAGGAAACGTGCTCTTCAAAGAGCTTTCTGGTTTCAGAGCTCAGCTACTGATATAAGCAACTAGTCTCAATCTGCCACATTGTGTCAGAGCATCAGATCCAATAACAAAACAATGAGTCTTGAAGGGCAGGCCAGACACTCATATTGTCTGACTGAAAACATCCTGCATGTCTTATGAGATACTTGGTGCCAAACATATGGTGTAACTGCTTTTCCCTCATCTGCCAGCCTGAGACTTGCCCAACTGCCCTGCAGGAAGTGCCTGATACCTTATAGTGCCAGGAATGAGGAAATCATCAGTGCAGCATTCCATTTCATCACTCTCTTCAACTGTCTACTTTTCACAACAGAAAGGACATCCTAAGGAATTAAAGCTTCAAATTTTCATGAAGCTGATGATCAGACAGTTATTCGTCTCATTTTCCAACAGTGAAACATTCTATGTACACTGACCTTCAATAGCATTAATTATAAATTGTGTGTCTCCTTTAATCATTCTTCTCCTCTTGGCCTTATAATCGAATTTGTTCCACGTTGCAGTTTAATAACAATTCTTCATATCCACTCTTAGCCAACATTAAAAAATTCATATGTTTCTAATATTCACATCTCACAAGTTAAGCAAACCAAACCAAGCTTTTCTCCTAACCTCTGCCTTGACTAGATTTTTTTCTTTCAAAGCACCCAGGGTAAACTGAGTCAAAGCTAACCCCAGCAAAGAATATGAAGGTCAAAGCTAAACATCTAGTGGGTAGTTCCTATTTCTGACATTTAGACCAAGTAAGATAAATCCCACCTAAAAGGGGAAAGGGGAAAAAAAGTCACAGAAACAGGGAGGAAAACTACATCCTGAAGTATATAAAAAAGTGAGGAGTAGACCCCAAATTTGCCAAGAAGATATGGTAGAAATGGGAAGGGTGACATGTTGACTAGACTATACTTCTTGAGGGCAGGGACCATATCTCATCTTTATATCCCCAGGATCTGTTGGCAGTTATGGCACAATGTAGGTGTACTCAATACATGTGTGTTGAATTACAAAGAGGCATGTGAGGCTCAAGTCTTTTTTAACATCTTCTGGTGATATCTATCAAAGGTCTCCTTGGATTTCTTTCTGTCTCTCCACATAACTGCCCAGTTCCAATGACCTCTTACAGTGATGGCTATATTATATCCCCCATGTACATTTAGGTCAGTTCTATCAAAGTTTGCTTGAGCAGACTTACCCGAAGAGCATGTTTGCTTGCACAATATCCAGTAGAAAGGGGCGCAGCCAAGATACCCATGAAGCTATTCACAGTTACAATCTTCCCTTGCTTCCTCTCGATCATGTGAGGCAGAACGCACTTTGTCAAGGACACCGTTCCTAAGTAGTTAAGCTCTATCATCTCCTTGTAGATATCCATGCTGGATTCCACACACAGAGAACGCTGGGATCTTCCACCATTGTTGACCAGAATGTCGATCTAGACAGTAAAATTAGAAAACAGGCTCTTTGGTGATGACCTACGGATGGACTGATGGAATCCCTAGGGATGATTACTTATGTTGATAACTTGAAAAATCACTGGAACAGTCTGGTATATTTCCAGTCAGTATAAAAATATAAAAAATTAGAATTCACCCATGGAATTAAATTTCTATTAGGTGACTCTTTATGGAAAGTAGTGTCATAAAAATAAAAGGCACTGAGTTTTTAGCTTCTTTTGTTCTACATGGAGGAGTTAGTACTCGTTAAGGTATGGAAAGTACTAATTTCACAAAGCCACCAACTCAGAGATTAAAAGGCCCAACTCATAGGCCTTGATCTCATTGCATGGACCCATTTGCCTAAAGCCCTTTTAATGAAGCACCACAAATGGGAATCTCTTTGCAGCTACTTCAAAGCAAAGCATGTCCATTCAAAATGCTACTTACTTTACCAAACTCCTGCAGAACTGCTTTGGTAGCCACCTCATGTGAACTTATGTCAGCCAGGTCAAAGGGCAAAACAAGTATATCTTTTCCTTTTAAATTGCCATTCTCTAAATAAAGACATTAAAAATTAGTGAGGAGGTCATGCAGTAGTTCAGTCAAACTCTTTGCTACTTGCATTAACACCCATCCCACAACTAGACTTAGCAACAAACTCATTTCTGAGTGGCTCTGCAGAAGAGTTTCTCAGTGATCAAGAAGAGGACTGGTGGTAATGTGGCAACATCTTATTGGATAAAAGCTGGCTGGGTGCTCAGGAAATAGAATAGCTCTCTTCAACTTGTACGTAAACAGTCTAATGTTGGAACAGACTCTAGAAGAAGTCTAGACAGTGCTACATGCTAAGAAAAAATCGGAGGGCCCAGTCCATGTGGCTCAGCGGTTGAGTGTCAACCTATATGAACCAGGAGGTGATGGTTCAATTCCAGGTCAGGGCACATGCCTGGGTTTCGGCCTTGATCCCCAGTAGAGGGCATGCAGGAGGCAGCCAATCAGTGATTCTCTCTCATCATTGAAAGAGATCTCTCCCTCTCCCTTCCTTTCTGAAATCAATAAAAAAAACATATTTTAGAAACATTTTGGAAGCAATTTATTTAAAGTACAGAGACACTTTTGTGTTATGATAGGTTTACAAAGTTAGTTGCTTTTTAACACACATTGAAAAACAAAGTTTATGCTTAAGATCGGTAAGAAGTTCATGCCGAAACCGGTTTGGCTCAATGGATAGAGCGTCAGCTTGGGGACTGAAGGGACCGGGGTTCGATTCCGGTGAAGGGCATGTATTTGGTTGCGGGCATATCTCAGGTAGGGGGTGTGCAAGAGGCAGCTGATCGAAGACTCTCTCTCATTGATGTTTCTAACTCTCTATCTCTCTCCCTTCCTCTCTGTACAAAATCAATAAAATATATATTAAAAAAAAAAAAGAAGAAGTTCAGAGGCCTCCAGTGACATGACACATAAAAGCTTGCCTCTGGAAGCTAAAGATCCCAGGAGACAAATAAGGAAAAACACATAATCCTGGAATTCCCATGCAGGAAACATGTTCTATAATACTATATAGCCCTTTCTATTTCTGTTCATTAAAAAAGTATTTTTTTCTTGTGAATTCTAACCTTGGAATACGTAATGTCAATAAGAAAAAACAAAAACACACACAAGCAAGTAGAGATATATATAAAGGTTTTATGGGCAAAGGAGTAAATTGTGAAACGTTAACTATTTTAAAAGAAAAAGTTTGCACCCATTGTCTAACAAATAAAAGGAAAACAATCAGCTTCATTCCAACTAAGAAATGCTGATATGATTCATCTTTGTCAGCATAGGAATTGCAGGTCTCAACAGTGGAAGAGCAATTATCACAAGAAATGGCCCAGCCCTGGCAGGTGTTTCCCAGTGGTTAGAGTATTGACTGCATACCAAAGGGTCACAGGTTCAATTCCTGGTCAAGGACACATACCTGGGTTGCAGGTTCATTCCCCAGCTCCAGACAGGGCATATGTAGGAAGCAACCAATCGATGTGTGCTTCTCACATCGATGTTCCTCTCCCCACCTCTTTCTCTTCCCCTTCCCTCCCTCCCTTTCACTTTCTCTAAAAATCAATATCCTGAAAGGGCCCTAGTAGCTTATGCAACTGACTCATTTCTGGGTGGTCAGTTCCATCAGCAAAGTGAAAGAAAGGTGTCTAAAGAATGATAGGAAGATCAAAAAAATGGTCGCTGTTTCCAAATTCTAGCTATTGTAGATTGTGCTGCTATGAACATAGGGGTGCATATATCCTTTCTGATTGGTGTTTCTAGTTTCTTGCGATATATTCCTAGGAATGGGATTACTGGGTCAAATGGGAGCCTAGTTGCCTGTCAGCAGATGATTGGATCAAAAAACTATGGTACATCTACCCAATGGAATATTATGCTGCCAAAAAAAAAGAAGGAATTCTCATCATTTGCAGCAACCTGGATGGAATTGGAGAACATCATGCTGAGTGAAATAAGCCAGTCAATGAAAGAGAAACACCACATGACCTCACTCATTTATGGATAATAAAGAACATTATAAACTGATGAATCAAAAGATAGATATAGAGACAGTAAAGCAACAAGTAGACTGTCAAATTACAGCAGGTAGGGTAGGGAGATCTGGGGGGAGATAATAGATCAACCGAAGGACTTGTATACATGCATATAAGTACAACCAATGGACACAAAACTCTGGGGAGGGAGGGTATGTATGGGAGTGAGGGGCAATGTTAAAATATGTACACAGATAATAATTTAATTTAAAAAATGTTAAAAAAGAAAAAGGAAGAAAAATACCGTCGCAAGTTGCATTTTTTTAAACTTCATCCTTTATAACAAAAATGTTATACCATCCTACATGACTTTAATATCTGACATTTTAGCAGATATTGTGAACTTATGTCAGCCAGGTCAAAGGGCAAAACAAGAATGTGTCAGGATCCTTTCCAATTAAATTTCTGCGATTACATACATGTGTGTCATACATAAGAACCAATGTGAAAAATAGAAGACATTTATGTGATTTCTAAAAATCCATCAACATTTGAGAGAATTGGTGGTCACTTCCTAATGCCAAGAGGCAGTGCAAAAAAAGGAAGAAAGACAGCAGAAAAAGGGAAGGAGGAGGCCAGAGCAGCTAATTAAGAAATGCCAGAAGAAAGAGGATTTGGGTCAAAACACGTGGAGCGTTTGGAACCTAAGTATACCGCCCAGGAAAATCCATTTGGCTGCTGAAATTCCCCGAACTATATTTGAGTTTGGATTCCGATTTATTGCTGTTTCAGGTTTACTTACCAAGGCATCTTCTTTTCACCCTTTCCAGCTCATTCTCTCTTCTGGCAGACAGCACCAGAGACACTCCTAGTTTTGACAGCTGGTAAGCCAGCTCCTCACCAATGCCACTTGATGCTCCAGTCACCCATACCACCATGTCAGTCAGCTCCCATTCTATTGAGAAAGGATAAGGATTGAGAGAGAAAATAAGCTATGGATTACACCCATATGCAAAGATTATCCCCCCAAAAAAGTATTTTAAACAATACCTCTAATTATGAAGATATAATGTGTGGCATATAAAAATTTAAATATTCTGTTTATGGCCTTGATATTATGGTGATAGTCTCACAGATGTATACTTATCCCCAAACTCAAGTTGTTTGTATTAACTATGTGCATTTAAAAAAAAAAATACATGTTTTTATTGATTTCAGGGAGAGGGATAGACAGAAACATCAATGATGAGAGAATCATGGATCGACTGTCTCCTGCACACCCTCTCCTGGGATGGAGCCCGCAACCTGGGCTTGTGCCCTGCCTGGGAATTGAACCATGACTTCCTGGTTCACCGGTCAAGGCTCAACCACTGACCCACACCGACTGGGCTATGTGCACTTTTATATGATTATCATTCCTCAATAAAGTGATTTTTTTAAATTATTAAATATCCTAAGAAAACAACTCCTCCCCAATTAAAAAAAAAAGGCATGAATATAAATCATATAGGTAACAGTTATCAATTCTTTATTTTGTGTATTCAGACTCTTGAGTGAGTTTTTCAGACTTTACTTCAAGGTAAGCTTTATAACTCCATGGTGTGACTTCAAGGCTCTACTTATCTGTATATTTAATGGAGAAAAGTAAGGCTAAGTAAATAGAAAGTCTGCCTAGACTCAGTTTCTCATTTTCCTTCTCCATAAAACGAGGGATTCAGATTAAGATGACTACTAAGGTCCTATTCAGTTTTCAATTCTATTATTCTAACTTCTTGCAATGGAGGTATTGATAATGAATCTGAATATGCTAAGTCCTACTCTATGGTATGGCAAGACCACCCTGGACTTCGAAAGTCATATGTTCCCCATCTGTCAATCATATCTGATGCCTATTTAGTAAAGATCATGTTCCCCCAAATGCCTGCACTTTCATCTCAGGAGAATCCGGTGGCTCACCCACTATGAAATACATGGCAGTGAGATGAAATGCTGTACTCTCCTTGCCCAATCATGTTCTCCTTAAAGCCTGTAAAAATGTTATAGTAATAAAGCAATGACGAGTGGTTTATTCTCCTCTTGTCCAATGAAAAAAACTTGTTTGCAATGTAGATGATAGCCGGTCTAACTGAAAGTGTAGTCACCATGATGCAGCATTCCTGTGTGCCTTACTAATCAAAAGTGTTTATTTAAACAATAGTAAACCAGTAATCACTTATGTGCATTTCTTGTTTTCTATTAGAAATATGAAAAATCAGGAAACTAGTTTACTATTTTCATCAAGCAGTTCTACAGCCTGTTAGGTTGACAGTCTGAGCTCCTGAACTGCCAGGGTGAAACGCTCCTGTGTGAGGACTCAGAGCCTTCATTTTCTATACCCGGAAAATTGGACTAATAATAAGAATTCCTCCATAGCACTGTTGAGAGGAATGAGTTAAAACCTGTTGAGTTCTCAGAGGAGTGTGTGACTCATACTCAGAGCTTAATCAAATGTCCATTGTGATCGTTGCTAAGTCAATGATCACAATATTTATGTTTTGGTTTTAAAACAGATATTTTAAAACCAAAACATAAATAACTTATGTCCCAATTTTTCCAGCCAGGGGCAATGGGGTTACTAACTGTAACTGCTTACCATTTTGTTCATTATTTCCTATGTGTTTGCATTACCTTATAAAAATCCTCAGAAGAACCTTATGAAGTAAGAATTATCATCATTTTATTAAAAAAGGAAACTGAGGTTTACAGAAATTGATTTACCACATTGGACTACAAACTCCCTTAAGGCTGAGACCCTATCTGCCTTGTTCCTCATTATATCCTCGGTGCCTGGCACACTAATATAAATAACTGTAGAACAATCACCCAAGAGCCCTAGCAGAGCTGGGATATGAGCCCAGGTACATCTAGCTCTGAAGTCCACTAGACCATGGTGCCCACATTTTAAAATAACCAATGTTTTAAAACCCACTCTTGCCAAAACCGGTTTGGCTCAGTGGATAGAGCGTTGGCCTGCGAACTGAGGGGTCCTGGGTTTGATTCTGGTCAAGGGCATGTACCCTATTTGTGGGCACATCCCCAGTGCGGAGTGTGCTGGAGGCGGCTGATCGGTGTTTCTCTCTCATTGATGTTTCTAGCTCTCTATCTCTCTCTCTTCCTCTCTGTAAAAAATCAATAAAATATATTTTAAAAAATAAAAATTAAAAATTAAAAACAACAACTACTGTGTTTCAGCTATTCAAGAAAAAGCAACTTGTCCTCAGGAAAGATGTCTCATTTAAATATCTGAACTGAGGATGCAAACATCCCAAATACCATGTCTTGTCTACAACGCTTTCCCATCATATAATATGCTTTCATGGAAAGGCACAACAGAGGCACCTCCTACAGGACTTTCTCAGGAATACCAATATTCAGATAGTTGTTTATCCATTCACAGACTTCTGATTGTTCCAACGTTCCGCAATTCTCAGACCCTATGGTGAATATAGTCTGTTTATAATAACTATTGACTAATGAGCATAGGACTAACCAAGATTTTATTTCACCCCGATGTTCAAATACTATTGAAATCCAATGATGAAAAATCCCAGGCTCACGCTTACTTTAGTCCACCTGCAAGTTCTGGAACCTTCCGGGAGAAGAAGATCTTTTCTTTTTTTAGCACTAGCTCTCCTTTGCCAATTCCACTGAATCTGGCATGTACCACGGTCTCCCTAAACAGCCTCTGAAAACAGGTTCTCGAAGTTGGGAGGAAACTTGTAGTTCAGCCCCAAACCCAGTGTGAGAATGCTCTCTTGGGGTTGGCTAATCTCCACTTCATTCCCGCAAGGGATAAGGAAGCTAGTGACCTCCAAGGCACGAGCTCCTCTTTCGGACCTGCCTGACCACTCAGGGAGATCAAGGGTTCTAACAGTGATGTGATGATGTACCTTGAACTTCTCCTGGCCAGCACCTGATGCCTTGGGGCATCGGAAAGAATAACTCAAGCCAGTCTTGCACTTGACAATCCCTCATTTCTTTGAAGTCAGCTGCTATGTCCTCCTTAAGTCCTCTCCTCTCCTGCTTCTCTCTAAGGCTACATAATCCATAAACACCTCCGATTTCTGCTACCTTCCCTCAGATGACATGGCATCGGGTTACCGCCCTCTTCCGCTCACACCCCTCGGCCCAAGCTCTAGTTGGTCAATGGCCCGCTCTATGGAGAGGAGATGAGCTGAGCAGAGCAGGACACAGGATTCCCTGGGGGTCTGTGCAATCCAGAGCAGGGGAAGATGACGGAATTGCTCCGGTTGTTCCCCAGAAGACAGGCCGTGTGAGGGCCTGGGCAGTGGCTGCAGCAGTCACCGCTGGGTCCCCAGGGCCCAGCACAGAGGCTGACCCGGATGACAGGAGACATCTGTTGTTGTTTGCCGTTTGTTGCCTCAAGACACTAAATATCTCCGGGGCTTGCCTAATTTTTCTGGCATTCAGTTCACAGTTGACTCATATTTAGGTGACTGTCAACTAAAACCCGAGTTTTCGCCACATGTGCTGCTGCTGCGACTTTCTCCACTCTGGCCTTGTGCCACAGATTTTCCCTCTGGACTAAGGTGCAGTATCTAAAATTAGTCACCCTTAAATGTCATCAAGAGAGATATATGCTTGGGAATGCGGAGAATTTCTCTAGAAGAATACGTAAGGAAATGGTGGTTGCCTTCTAGGGAGGCATACTGGCTAGCTGGGGAAGCAAGAGCTTTCTTTTCACTATACAACCTTTTGTATTTTTAATTTTCTATTATGTGAGTACATTGCTTATTTTTCAAGTAACAAAAACTAACTCTCCAGGGAAGATGAGGAGGACAATATTTTTTCACTTTGGTCTGCCCAGTCTGAGCTGTTTGGAACCTGAGTCTACCCCATATTCCTGTAACTTTTTTTCAGTAGCACCCTCACCCCTAAGAGTCCTGTAAGTCATTTTCTTCCTAATAACTCCCCCCATAGAGTTTGAATTCCACTGATAATACTACATATCTGTTTACATACTGTACATAACAAGTTCTATGAAGGTTACTCATCAGTAAGAATAGCTAAATTTAAAAATTAAAAGTTAAAAATGAACACTTAACTTTCACATCCGTATTTGCAGGGTAACTTTTAATGTAATGTGTTTACTTAAATAAATGATAATGGGTCAAACTACATATGCAAATTATATAACTACACAAGAGCAATGTAATTAAAATCCTCCAAAACTGTTATTTTTCCAGCAAAAGTAAAACGTTGGAAAATAATTAAATTTCTTAAAATCTATGTTTAGTAACATTAACTTTTAACATTTGCTTGATATGTGAAAATAACTTTTCATTTAACTGGCTGCTAGATATTGTCAACATTTCTCCTTTTCAATGCTTGACATAATCAGCGGTTGAATATCTTTTTGTAGAATTAAATAACAAAATATAAACTATTTTTTGTGTACTTCTCAAATCCAATTTAATTCAAAAGCATTGAGGCTCAAACACAAACATCCACAAAACAGCCAGCAGGCACATGCATTCCATCTGCTGAGATGGAGCAAACCATCAAGAGAGAGTCTGCCAACCACAGCCATCAATTTGTCACAGTTTTGTAGCACTGCCCTTGCATGTGTGTAGTATATTTTGCATGAACTCAATAATGTCAGTTGCATATGTTTTACTCCCCAATAAAAAAAAGAATGAGAGAAATGAAATACTACAGAATAAGATTTTGTCTGGTAGGGTTTAGCTTTGGAGGGACCCTCTTAAGATTTTTTTCGGTCCCCAAGCAATACCACTTCCCTTCTCTCCTGGCCCCATTTTAAAAGCATAGTAGTTTTCACTACCAAACAAACATCTCTAAATGATTACTCTTTTCCTACTGGAAGCTGGGTCCAAGGAAACCCCGCTTCCCCCAGCCCTTAGGAATCCAAAGCCCAACTTTGGGCAGGTCATTAAGTTTCTCTCTTAGTTTCCCTACCTGGAAGCTAACATTAGCAAAGCCTACTTTGTACGAATCCTTGTAAATAATAAAGGGCCAAGCACACTGCCGGTTAGAATGTATTTAGTAAATGTTAGGCAGAGCACAGATACAGGTGGGACATGCAGAATGCTCCCTTAGTATGCCAATAATGACCTTTCTCCAGGCAAAATGCCAATTTAGTTCTTGCCGACTTTATATCTTTACTATTCCAGTAAGTAGGTGAACTCCAGATTATGTGGAGAATGTTTTAACTGCTCTCATTAAAAATCAGTAACCAAAGGAGAATATAGGGCCTTTCAAATTCCTTGCTGGGAATATTCCATGGGGATAATCACATGAAAAATAAATGATAGGAAGCAGTGCTGTTCTTTCTGCATCCTGAAAAAAAGTTTGCCTTGAAGGGTGTCTCCAAACTCTGTTTTCAGATTCCCAATGACAAGCGGGGCCTACCCAACCTTATCTGTACATCCTTCCCACCTGGTGTGAAATGCTAATCTCTGACTTGGATGTACTTCCCGCTTACTCCTTCTCTACCTATATCAGCAGCCCTCGCGCTCCCAAGTTCAAGCACAGTTTTAAGGATTCCCGGAGTTCTTCTCAATTTGACCGAAATAAAAACCTTTTCCCCTAAATTTATAGAGTCCAGGTGTTCTCTTCGTTGACAATCTCAACGCTTATCCTTTCAAAACCCCAGGAGAGCGAAAAGTCGTGGATCAACAACGTCAGCAAGTAGAAATGCGCAGCTCCCGCCCGCACAGGGACCCTCCCTTACCCAGCGGGGGATGCGCTCCCTCCTCCTCCAAGGCTCCCGGGGACCCCGCGAACAGCTCGGCGCCCGCCCATTCCAGACAAAGTCCACTCGACCCGGAGAGACAACAACGAAGGGCAGAAGCGCCCCGTCCACCCCCACCCGCAGCCGCAGCCGCAGGAACAGGCTCAGCGGCGACGCGGAAGCTCCACGCCTCCCCCGGGAGGGACGCGGGGGCAGCGCCATCCCGGCGGCCCGGGGCCGGCCTGGCGCTGCCCGGGGCGGCCGCGGGCCCTCACCTGGGCGTCGGCCCTGCCACTCGGCCCACAGCAGGGTCAGGTCGCCATCGGCCCGCAGGAAGCGCAGCAGCTGCACCGCCAGCGCCAGCAGCGCGCCCAGCGCCAGCAGCCAGAGCAACAGGTCCCCGCTCATCGCGGCCGCGCCGGCTCCGCGGGGAAGGCGGACCCGCCCCGGCGGCGCCGCAGCTCCGGGCGCCTGCGGCCGCCCCCGCCCCGCCCTCCGGCAGCTCCGCCCAGCCCCGCACCGCCTCCCGGAGCGCCCCCTTCCCCCGGGCCCCGCCCAGCCCCGCACCGCCCCCGGGAGCGCCCCTTCCCCCCCCCCCGGGCCCCGCCCAGCCCCGCACCGCCCCCGGGAGCGCCCCCTTCCCCCGGGCCCCGCCCAGCCCCGCACCGCCTCCGGGAGCGCCCCCTTCCCCCCCCGGGCCCCGCCCAGCCCCGCACCGCCCCCGGGAGCGCCCCCTTCCCCCCCCGGGCCCCGCCCAGCCCCGCACCGCCTCCCGGAGCGCCCCCTTCCCCTCTCCTCCCCCCGGCCCTGCCCAGCCCCGCACCGCCTCCCGGAGCGCACCCCTTCCCCCGGGCCCCGCCCAGCCCCGCACCGCCCCCGGGAGCGCCCCCTTCCCCCGGGCCCCGCCCAGCCCGCACCGCCCCCGGGAGCGCCCCCTTCCCCCGGGCCCCGCCCAGCCCGCACCGCCCCCGGGAGCGCCCCCTTCCCCCCCCCCGGGCCCCGCCCAGCCCCGCACCGCCCCCGGGAGCGCCCCCTTCCCCCGGGCCCCGCCCAGCCCGCACCGCCCCCGGGAGCGCCCCCTTCCCCCCCTCCCGGGCCCCGCCCAGCCCCCGCACCCCCAGCCTGCGGTGCGGGGGTTAGGGGGTGCACCGCATGGCGGACCGGGAGGAGCCAGCCTGGCCGTGGCTGCGCGATAGACGGTTGTGGCAGGAACAGAAGGCTTGCGTTTGTAATATCAAAACCGATTCTTTAGCGGTCGTTTGGAGGTCAGTGTTCAGGGCTCTGGTTGCTGCGTCAACAGGAAGACCGCATCTGTTTGGACCTAAGGACGCAACCTCCCTCCGCCTCCCCCTTTTTCCTCAACTAAATGAATCCAACCGACCATCAAATGAACCCAACCCCCCACCGAAGAATTAACACAGTCTCACAGAGTTAAGTGGGTCCCGTGTCAACTTAAATTTGGAAATCACGTTGCAAGTGACATTGGCCTCAAGGCTGGACCAGGAAGTGCAACGTCGGCCAGGACCGGCCATGAGCACTCATGGGAAGCTGAGCCAAACGCAGTTGAAGTTTGTACATGGAAGATGACTTAACTGGAAAAGTGCCCGTGATGTGGCTCATACACAGTAATTAATTCAAGGAGAGAATCACAGTTCAGACTTACTATTCATTAAGTATCATAATTATTTATTGTTTTAATTATGATCATTTCTTAAACTTCAACCTGAAAGGCAGGGACTTTGTTTACAAACTTGTGTGTTCTGCATCTGTAAAGTTCCCCTCGAATGTGAGAGCGATAAAAATATTTAAGTGGTGATGAATCAGAAATTGGTATATGGTTTTGGATTCCTTGAGAAAGCTGTGAGCTGGAGAAACTTTTCTCTCAACGGATTGTTTACCCCAATTACAACTTGGAATAATATTGCTAAGAGTTGCCCTCATTTGATTTGCCACCTTTGCAATAGGGGTTTATATTCCTCATGAAGAATGACTTTTAAAATAAGATGCTTCAAAATACCACACTGAGCCTCACGATAGTGAACAAACTCTGTTTCCTCTGAGCCTATTTCCCTTTCTGTGAAATGTAAGGGGTGAGTTAGCTTTGGTGCTCAAAGCCAGATCATACTAAGGATGGGTAACCGGATTCCTACCACAAACTCCAGCTGTTGGGAGGGGGAAAGGGGAACAGAGCTGCACATTGCAACTAGGGCGGTGGGAGATGCAACAGCAGGTTCAGGACAGGGGAAAACTCACCAAAAGAATATGATCTCTAATCTGTCCAGCCCTAGCTATTAAGAAGTCTATGTGAGCTCTGAATGTTTAAGTCTCAAAAAATGTGTCTTTATACCCTGGCTAATTTTGCTCAGTGGAGAAAGCACCAGCCACAGATTGAAGGGTCCTGGGTTTGATTCCCATTAGGGGCTGGTTCTCTGGCTCTGGATGTAGGAAGCAACCAATCGATGTGCCTCTCTCACATTAATGTTTCTCTTTCTCCCCCCTCCCTTCCATTCTCTCTAAAAAATCAATGGGAAATTTCCTTGGGTAAGGATTAACAAAAAAAAAATATATATATATGTGTGTCTTTGCTTTTTAATCTGATAATTTGATCCAGTATGAATGTCTCATTCATTCCAGTGTATGTACTTATTGTAAACTAATATACATAGTTTTATGTACATGCATTTAAGCCGTGATGGTTACTTTTATGTGTTGCCTTGTGGTGTCCAGTTTTGAGTCAAACACTTGTCTAATTGTTGTTATGAAGGTGTGACTGACATTTAATTTAGTAGACGTTGAAAAGAGCAAATTAGCCTCTGTGATGTGGATAGTTCTCATTCAATTAGTTGAAGGACTTAAAAAAAAAAAAAAGACCAAGAAGATGAAGTTCTGACTTCAGGCCACCTTTGAACTTGAGCTGCGATATCAATTCTCCCTTCAGTCTCAGCTGGCAAATTTCAGATTTGATGGCCCCAACAATCAGGTGAGCCAATTCCTTAAAATAAATATCTCTCTCTCTCTCTCTTTCTCTCTCTCTCTCTCTCTCTCTCTCTCTCTCTCTCTCTCTCTCTCTCTCTCTGTGTGTGTGTGTGTGTGTGTGTGTGTATAATATATGTATTTCCTATTGGTTCTATTTCTGTGGAGAACCTTAACTATACGCAAACTATAATAAAACCAGTCATGTCACCTCAACAGTAGTTCATGCATTGGAAAATAAAAACAAATTAATATACAACTTTCAATATTATAAATTTTAATTTCCCTGAATAGAGGCATAATTCATTTTGGAATTCAGCTATGTTTAAAGAATCTGTTACTCTCATCAGAAAAACAACTATTACAACTAATATCTTTGCAGTGCAAAATTGTCTGTTCTCTTCACCTGTGAGAAAAATCGAGCCTCCGAATCTACTGCCTCTGGGGAAGATGCTCAGCAAGATTTTCATAAATAGTAGCCATCAGAATTTCCTCTTCCCACTTGGCACAGAATTTATCACAAAACTTGGAGCCAGAGTGCTCAAAGCAAACAAAGGACAGATAAACAAATGAGCGGGTCTCCTGAGGCCAGTGGGGCCGTGGAACCCGTCTCTCCCGGATCAATCCATTCATGACCTGACAGAATTTTAACCATTTAAATATAAAATTTCAATAATTATAAAAACACGATTCAAACATAAGCCACATTATTTCTTAAGCAACTGCCAGGAGACAAAAAGAGAATCTCTGCAGCTTAGTCCCCTTGACTATTTTCATTTGGGAGCAGTATTAGCTGCTCCTTCTCTTCAAGTCTTGTTTTTTGTTTTGCTTTTGTTTTTCATGTTTTTTTTTTTAATATTTTATTTCAGAGTAGAAGGCAGATGGATAGGGAGATAAAAACATCAATGATGAGAGAATCATTGGTCGGCTGCTTCCTGCACATCCCACACTGAGGAACTGAGCCTGCAACCCACGCATGTGCTCTGACCTGGAATCTAACTACGATCTGGTTCATATGTCTATGCTAAACCACTGAGCCATGCCAGTGGATAAATCTTATGTGTGTTTGTTTGTTTGTTTCATGAGGCCAGAACATTGATGTGGTCATCGTGTGAGTCATTGCCAAGGCAATGATCCATGAGTTAGGACAGGGTCCTTTCACAATTAGGGAAAAAAGACTGAAATCATATGCTCTATTTCAGCCTCTACATGATTCTGACAACATACAAACTTATTCTTGGCAGAAGTATCTGTTTTGGCAAACCATATCCTAGTTTGGGGCTAAATCCTCCCCTAACCAAGCCATGATTCACATCTTAATAGTAAACAACACTATAAAAACAGAATGAAAGCAAAACACCATAGTCTAATTACACAAAATATTAACATGCTATTCATATATATATATATATATATATATATATATATATATATATATATATAATTGATTTTTTTACAGAGAGGAAGGGAGAGGGATAGAAGGCTAGAAACATCCATCAGCTGTCTCCTGCATACCCCCTACTGGAGATGTGCCTGCAACCAATGTACATGCCCTTGACAGGAATCGAACCTGGGAACTTTCAGTCCGCAGACTGACACTCTATCCACTGAGCCAAACCGGTTTTGGCTTAAGATGCTATTCTTGATTAATTTCCACTAGAAAGAGCTTCAAAACATTTAATTGCTCCCTACTTACCACCTGCATGTATTGAACAGGCAACAGCAGCAACTTTCCTATTTGTTTTTTAAAATTTGCCTTTATTGTTGAAAGTATTTACAGATGTCCCCTTTTCCTCCCATTCTCCCTTCACCCACAACCCCACCCCCAGGCCTTCACCAAACATTGTCTGTATCCATGGTTTATGCATACCCATTTTTAAGTTAATCTCTTCCTGTTCCCTTTCCCCCTTTCCTCTGAGATTCATCAGTCTGTTCCATGCTTCCATGTCTCTGGATCTATTTTGTTTATCCATTTATTTTGTTCATTAGATTCCACATATGAGTGAGATCATGTGATACTTGTCTTTCTCTGACTAGCTTCTTTTACTTAGCACTATACTCTCCAGGTCCCTCCATGCTGTCTTAAAGGGTAAGAGATCCTTCTTTTTTACAGGTGTAACTTTCTGATTTTTAAGCATTTAAAAGCAAGAGAGTTTTCAATCCATAAGCCTCGCAGAGACCCAGTTAGAGTGCATAGAAACTAGGTCATGGCTGAGAGCGATAGATTGTCAAATGGAGAAAGTTCCAGGCATTCATGCAGCAGAACTTCTGGCCTCTCTAATTCTTGGAATACCTTGCATGTTCTAATGCTTATTTTCCTTGGCAGAAGTCAAATACAACTTTAAAACAATAATGCAAGTAAAAAGACCCTCCTCAATGTTTTATTTTCCAGTCTTGCCTACCAAACTTTCCTTATCATCTTGAAATGTGTTAGA